ATCCCTTGCTTCCAGAAGTTAGAGAATCACTAAGACAGGGTACGTTTCCTGAAGAGTAAGTATAGCAACATCACCGTCTGAAGTGTACAAAGAAGCATACTGGTGGCATCAATTGGGCATTTATCGTTCGAGTAACATACATTCTCATAGCGCCAACGCATATACCTCGTTGATCTGAGCATCATAATATGACTTTTGATCTGAATATGATTGAAACCAAATAGATTAGTATGCATCAGTGATGCACACTCTCATGGCACAACGCCAGGATGTATGCAGAAAGAATAAGCGAGAGAAGAAACAAATCACATCGGGAGTATCTGTTAGACAAATTAGTTATAAGAACGATCATGTAGATACTGGACATATCATAAACCGCATAGGTAAAACTCCGATACCGTTACTGCGAAGCAGAGAGTCAACGAGCGATGGTACATATGGGTGAACAAGCAACTGCTGGTGAACAGCTTTCTGAGGAATAAAAACCGAGAGACTAACGTTCCGCCTGATTCGTTCAGACAGAATGGAAAGGTCATAAAAAAATTTTGGCCGCAGACACATTGAAGATTATTATCCCTTATTAATGGATATCTGTTTATAAGAGAGACGAGAAATATGAAGTTTACATAACGTAAATCTGTGACATCATTTGGCAGTCAGCGTGCATATATGTGGGCCACGACGCTGCTCGAGATTTGTCCTTCTTCATGACAACAACAACGAAAACAATCACCCTGTAACTATCGTGTCGTGCTAGCGACCATTCAACGTGCAGTAAGGTCCTGCTGGTATACGGTAGAGATGCGGCAGTTGTTTCTGCGCGTCGATATTGCAGATTCACTTACAGGACACGCTTATAAGGACACGGCTAGAAAAAGGTGACGTCAGCGGATCGAAGCTGATTCGTCAACAGTGCACGATTAGGGAGGAATATCAGCTCCTATCATCCGCATCAAACCTCTGGTTTGCCAGCTGACTCTCGACCACGAAGAAACCGTTATGTTCTGGAGACTCATTGGCCCCTTGAAAGCTACAAATATTATAAAAGTCTGCGTTGGACATTTCCAGAATAGAACTGCAGTCGAGTATCACAACTGAAAGACGTAACTAGCGAGAGAAAAGGTAAGAAACAGATAAGTCTGTTAGTACTACAGAAATGCAGGATAACAAAATAGAACCCTGAAAAAGAACAAGTATCGAAAACTAGCAGTACTCTAGTAAACCCATAAGGTCGGGTTTGATTTTTCTGTATAAATATGTCAACGGATCGTGATATGTTTGGAGGTATGTGAACAGGTTATTGTTGGGCCCTGCTTAGTGATGCGGTTTTGCATCCAGACACTGCAAGTGCTCAAATACCATGGAGCCGTTTCTGCTTACACAGTCCCTCAAGCCGCTAAAAGCAAAAGGCCGGTGCTTACGGCGCTTCAAGCCGGAATCAGTAACATGGAAAGAGCAAGAATCTTCAGAATGGTTGATGGTTCGAGACTAACTACAAAGAAAACCAACGAACAACGACGACTTACCGTCCAGCTTGAATACCAGTCTGATTAAACTCTGGAGTAATAGTGAAATGATCACCTGATGCAAAACTGTGACTTGTCATTGCGTGCTTGTACTCTGGGAATGTCACTGGTTT